TAATATCACGATAGCCGGCTACTCGAAGGAATAACATGCAAGTACAGTCTACGTACTAATTATACGGTACATAACTCAGCCTATTTCTCTGATATTTATAGACAATAATCAATACAATAGACACCGCATAATAAATATAAATTTGCATGATAAACAGCTTGAATTGTGGCATTGTCATTTGCTTTACTGTGATCGATGACGATGTTCTTTATAATAATAAATAATAATATAAATACAAGAGGATTTTTATTTTGTGAAATATATACGGATTTATACAAAAGAATGCTGACATGCTGCTGTGAGACACTGTTAATAGTTAGACATCGATATTATACTGTAGAGTCTGTATATATAGTATAGTGTTAATGTATAGTGTCTATTTTACTAGAGAAAATAGAAAAAAATTTGCGATATTTCCCTTAATTCTTAAATACATATTTTATAGTGTCTATGCCTATGGTACATTAGACTGTCGTATCGATATAAACGGCTTGTTCTCAAGTCTCAACGAAAGTTGGCTAGTTTAATTGCTACCAAGGTCCAGACTCTAAATGTTATGAGAGTATGACCATGCTTATCCATTTAATGGATGTATATAGCTATATATTCGTAATAAAATGTCATTTGTATATTTCAGAAAAATTATGTTTTTATACTGTATATATAGCTGTTATTCTTTTGCTTGATTCATGCATGGAGGCTACTATCTACCGCAAAAAGGACAGCGCATGCATGACATGTATGTGTATTTTTGTCATTCTCAGTCTGGCTTTCATATGAACAGCCGTTAAAAACACACATTGACATGACAACTATCCTTTTCTTAATACCATACTGACAAGGTTTCCAAAACTCAGCCTGAGGGCTGAGAGCAAACATATTTGAGCTTGTTGAACAGACTAAATGCATATTTCACTGATGTCTGAATTTATAAAACATTGCACACTTTTATTCCATAAATTAAATCCTCTACTTAGGCTATCCAACAAGTCCCATTCTTTGCCCCTTCACAACAAAGAAACACATGATACCAATTGGATTTATTTATTGCCCTTCAAATAACTATGTGCCCACATTTATTCAATTAGTATTCATGGTAAATCATATTGTCAATATATAAAATAATATTGAATCTATTGTGCTTGCCTGTAATTAGCAATTAGCATATATGAGCACCCTGATATATCAGTTTCAGTTCACAAATTACCTGCCCAGTCTAAAAAATATTGTCAAATGGCCCAAACTAGCTTGTGGGAGATCTAACCATGCAAGCCTATTATTACCTAGCCATGGGCTCCATGAAAGAGTCTGTTTATAAAATCCCAGCTAGGCAGGATGAGGCAGTTTCCAAGATCCTGACTCATATCAACTCGTGTTCAAAAATACATGTATATATTTGATGAACTCACTCATTAACATGTATAAACATGACATCCTAGCTGGCTGGCAAGGTTTCCCACCTGACAGGATCATATAAACATGTCTTAATATTAATTAAAATAAGCCTTTTAAATACTGCAATATCCTACATACTAATATACTATATGTCACAAGACTTTGCAAAATAACATTTTCTACTTTCCTGGAAATATGTCAGACCAGCCCAATAATAAACACATCCAGGTTTACTGCAAATATAATTATAAATGTACAACTGGATCAGCAGAAACAGGGAGGGTTTCAAAGGACTAGGCCACCTAGCTAACTAAGCTAAAAAAAGAAAGGTTATTCATTTTGCTAAGCCACACGCAAAATATTCCTTGCCCTTACATGACCAAGAATCCTCAATGAGATATTTTATTTATAAACACAATATAAAAATATGCAACAGATTCGAAAACATTCCAGCGACTATTATTCGCAGAGAAACATTCCAGCGACTATTATTCGCAGAGAAACATTCCAGCGACTATTATTCGCGGAATTACTTTTCCCCGAAAAATGTCGCTTTAACCCATGTAGTTCACGTATAAATATCGTTGAACAGATCTTTTTAAGTGCAGATATTTGCCCAACGCCGACCTCGAACGCTTCAGCAATGCGCTTTAGCCATATTTAATTTATTACCTTTGTGTTAAATTTATGCATTATTAATACCAATTTATGCTCCCCAAATTTTGGGGGGCTGTAATGTGATTGGTCAATCAGAACAATGCCGAAGCTCATTGACCCGAGAACACAACGAGTGGCGAGAACACAACGGCTGGAATCTGAGCCTACCCTCCCCCCTTAGCCAATCTATTTTTGTAAAGTTACGTGCCAGCCCCAACCAGGGCCTTTCCCATAGGTAAGACCCTGGGGCCGAGGTTGGGATATTATATTCTCATTTTAATTTCTTTTTGTTTAATAAACGGTTATTCAACTTTATTCAGTTAAATGTTTCTTATTTTTCCACTTAATGTTTTAATTTCGTTTGTAAAGTGACCAGTTGTTTGACAAAATATTTCCCTTTTTGACCAACTTTTTGAACTTAAAAATTATTGAGTGTCAACAACCCCCCCCCCCCCACCCACCCACCTGCCCACACATACACACAGATAACAACGTCCCTTGATACGTATAGGGATGACTTGCAGATTAAGAGAATTAAGGTGGAACCGAATTTATATTGAATACACATAACAATGACGTGTTTTACCAAATAAGGTCATGAGAACGCGAAAAAATACTAGAGCGGATTACACGGTAAAAAGACGTACAGTATTGCTTTGTCTAAACAGGTTTTTTCTGATTTAATAGGACAAAGCAAAAATCCAACTTTTTTAATGAAAACACACTACGGAAAAACACAAGGTCAAAGATACTCCTTATTCGAATATAATGTTATGAACACTTAAACAGTAATAAAATACCGGTATAAAACGGCAAAAGTAAAACTATGGCGGGTGATGTGTGTCAAAATTAAGTGAAATATTTTATTATTATTATTATTACTATTATAATTCATTTATATAGCGCCATTTCCCATAGCTCAATAGCGCTTAACATTAAGTGTTAAAAATATATGCTAAGTGTTAGAACATAGTGCATGCATTGACTACTAAAATTACTATACTTTAAAATTACTAAAAAATAATTATATGCTCTTCTCGTTAAGAATATAAAATTACTTTATGTTATGTATGTTGATAATATTAAAACAACAACTATATAGAATACTATAAAATTGCTAATAATCTTGTTAAAATAATAACTTAGTCATAATACTGTTTAAAAAGATGTGTCTTTAATCGGGTTTTAAGAATAGGCAAGGTCTCACTCTTTCTAATATACTCTGGCAGTTCGTTCCACAGTTTCGGTGCAGCATATGAGAACGATCGTTCACCATAGTTCACTAGTTTTACTGAGGGTATGGTAAGCAATCCTTTGGATGAGGAGCGTAAATTTGCTGATGGTGTGTAAGGTTTTAGCATATTATTAATGTAATGTGGAGCTGAGCCATTCAGAGATTTATACGTAATAAGAACAATTTTATAGATGATGCGTTGACTGATGGGGAGCCAATGTAATTGTTTCATTAATGGAGTAATATGATCATATTTTTTGCTTCCTGTCACCAGTCGAGCAGCACAGTTTTGCACATTCTGTAACCGATCAATAAGAAATTTAGGCAATCCGTATAATAAAGAATTACAATTATCCAGTTTCGATGTAATAAAGGCATGAACTAAAGTTTGGATATCTGACGTTGATAAGTACTCTTTTATTCTTGCTATTTTTCTCAAATGGAAAAACAGTTCTTGCAAATATTGGTAACATGTTTATCCATAGACATGTGGTGGTCGAAAGTTACACCAATGTTTCGTGCTGAAGTACTTGGTTGAATTCTTGAATTAGATACTTCTATATATTCTACAGCAGGGCATGAACGATTTCGTGCATTGATTACTAGTAGCTCAGTCTTGTCCCCATTCAATTTCAATTTATTTTTGACCATCCACAAATCAATCTCTTTCACACACATTTCAATTTGTGCCAGTGCTCCCAATTTTCCCTCAATGGTTGACTCAAAAGCGAGATATAATTGCGAGTCATCTGCATAAAAGTGAAAATCAAGATCATGACCTCTGATGATATCACCAAGGGGTGATTTTGACAATGATCTTGTAACATTTGGCAAGCATGTCAAACAATTTGGCAATGATTTGACATCATTTGGCTATTGGTTCTGACTATTTTATGGCAACTGCAAAACATTTGGTGATAATATCAAAATATTCAACAACAAAAATTCGTTTGACAACAATTTATTACTACACTGAACTAAAATGTTATCATTTTTTCATTTTAAAATAGATTTTTGTTCTTTGTTTGTCGATTTCGGTGTTTATGCAATATTGACGAATATATTGTGGCTAGAGCGATCCGCGATCGCACCCCCCGGTATAGCATTTGCTCCGATATATCACGTGACAAAATAATCCACAATTTGTGGATTATTTCACCAGCCTTTACCAGGGCCTTTGCTGCCCTTCGCCTCCTTCCTCAAAAGGCCCTGGGGACGAGGTTGACGTTTGGCAACAATCGTTTCATTTGGCAACAACAATCCCAAAATGCATTGCGAGTTTGCAAATTTAAAAACAAGATTGCGGATCAACATCAACACGACAAGGGCGCTATAAAACACGGGCGGGGAAACGCGCTGAAAGCGCGCTGATCCATGTGTGATACGGATGAGACTGGCGCGAGCGCGCTTATTTTTCAAAATGAAAAGAAAAAAGGAGCGAGAAATGGCAGAAAAAATTGCAGAAAGTTTTATAGGAAAGCATCCTTATACAAGACATAAGAATTGCTTTTTTTAAATGAAATTTATAGTGTCCTAATGCTAGATTAATGGACAATAAATGTCTTATATTAATGATTGACAAAAATGACTAAACTAAAATATATTCCCATTTTTTCTGTCGCAAGTGTACATTTTTTTCATCAAAATTTTCGAGTTTGAAAGGGCGCATTTTGGCTTTAAATTGGCCTTTCACCAAGGGTAAGTTGGCAAAAGTTATTTTGAAATCATCATCCTCTTCGATTCGCCATTTAATGGCCATTCTAATACATATAGTGAGCGAATGGACTTTTTTTTGACTTGTTACTATATTTAATGTTTTCTACAACCTATACTGTACTTCTCTCGCCCGGCCCGGAAGAAAGACTTGCAAAGTTTTTTTTAAAAAATAGTTTTTAAAAAAGTTTTAAAAAGTTTGAAAAGAGTTTTGAAAAGCAAGAAAAGTTTAAAAAGTTCGATTTTTAAAAAAGTTAAAAAAATTTAAAAAGTTAAAAAATGAGGGTTAGGGGTTAGTGGTTAGTGGTTAGGGGTTAGGGGTTAGTGGTTAGGGTTGGGGTTGGGGTTAGGGTTAGTGTTAGGTGCCGTGAATTTATTATTATGATAAATTCAAAATTTGCCGCGAATTTATCATAATGATAAATTCGGACGTGTTTTAAGAATTTACTCATATAGTAAATTCAAAGGTGGAGCTCATGCTGTATTAAAGATAGACTGAAATGGGGCCCGATATGCTGTCTTGTTTAGTTGTTTCATATACGCAAAGGCCGTCGGGTTTTAAAGCAATTATAAAATCAATATTTAAAACAAATTTACCTTCGTTAACGTCGGCTCCCTTCTTTTAGCCGATTCTTTCGCGATTTTACAAAATTTTGCAAAAATGCGAGCAAAAATGAAATATATTTGCAAGAAATTTATCAATCATCAAATAAAGAAATGTTTGCTATTTCGCTGTCGTCATGCAGTCGTTATAATGCAAACTTTAAATTGGACCAATCACAGTGTTCGCTATTCATGACAGTCTGCCATATTTTTGAGATCAGTGAGGATGACCACACACGGTTGGTGACCCACTCCCGCGATATTTGATGAACTTTAGACTTCGCTAATGCTTTCGTTTCCCCGGGTGTAAATAGCCGGGGGGATTAGTACCCTCGCACGGCGCTTCGCGCCGTCGGCTAGGGGATTAATTTTTGTTGCTAGCTGCAACAGAATAAATGTTTAATTACGTTCTCAAAAAGCCGTCAAGTGCATAAGCGCATTAATAATTAATTCAAGAATATTTTTCCAAACCGAGTTTAAACTGATGTTTTTCGACACATGTTTCATTACTAGTAAAATCGTCGGTTTTGTTTAGGGAAAAATCGTAGTACGGCCATCGAACGCAATAGCGGACGTGCGAGCATTGAGCATTTTTGGGCTGCAAATGTCTTAGTATCACTGGAAAAACAAACCGCGAAAAATGCTCGAAAAATTTTTCCTAGGTCCCAAACCTACCCAAAACTTTTGTATTCTATGAGACTAAGTTATGACACATCCGAAATACAACATTTGATAAATGGATTTTTTTTACGTTGCCAAGTCAAAAATATAGCTTCTCGCTAGGGACGGGATACTTTATAAACAATGAAAAACAAACCGCGGAAAAATTGTATTTTTGCTCGTAAAAGTTTCCCAAGATTCGAAATCTACTCAAAACTTTTGTATTCTATGAGATTAAGTTAAGATGTATCCGAAAAACAACATTAGATAAATGGCTTATAATCGCGAATATTATACACTTAATGTCTGCTCCCGAGGGAAATAGTTAGTTTTGTTTTCCCGATCAATCATATTGTTATGAGCAATATAATTAGAGTTGCACCGTGAATAGGCCAGTGCGGCATTCGCATGGTAACATTGGAAATTAGAGGTATACTGTAGTATCACAGCGACATGCTGATAATTAGCTTTTTACTCGGGCTAGCAAAGGTAGACCGAGTTATAAAATGGGTTCGCATTTCGCTGTCATGTCGCAAGTTTGCAAAAAACACGCGTGGGTGTCACTCATGCCACGCACACTGAAAGATGATCTCGCTGTGAATGTAGTTGTGGTATTTGGCAACTATAAACGCAACATTCTATAAGTTGTTCCTTTTCGTGTTGAAAGGTGGGCTTAAATTGGTTATCGTACTTGATTTTTAAATTTCAATATTACGCAAATTTGACTAGTTTCTACAAGTAGTGCTTTGTAAAGCCGAGCGTACGTGATGTTGTAGAGGGCCGACTGCAACGTTTGCGGTAAAACTCAGGCAAAATAGCGGATCAAAACAATCTGATCTTATCCGACTACTATCAACTAAGAAAAATCGCTGAAAATGACAGGAAAACGTCAGGTATTTGTTAAATAATAATGTCCTTGTGTGCGTCCGACTTAACATGCACCTACTCTAAAAATGCATTGCAGAAAATTGTCTCATTTAACCTCGCCTTTGCTCAGCGCTACGTTTAAAAAAAACAACACCTAAATTAAAATGCGTTAAGTGCCAATTTCAGTGTATGATACGGGATGCTAAAAGTATACTTGTGTTTCAATGTTTGCATGACATTGACTGGTTGTACAGTACATAATAATCGAAATAGACCTTTCCAGTAATTACGTCACAACTGCATGGAAGTGAGGCTGAGGGGCCAAAGCAAACGCGTAATGGCATACGCTTTGGCCCCTCAGTCTCACTTCCATGCAGTTGTGACGTAATTACCGGAAAGGTAATAGTTTAATACAAAACAAAAGCTTTTGTTGGGTTTTCCCCGGGCGACATTTTTTGCAAGTGTTTACCGTGATTCAATTTTGTTTAATATCATCTATTTAAATATCTTGTAAGATAAACAACGTAATCTAATTTAGTACTATGACATTATCGATTTGGTTTGAGAGAAGGGCAATGAGAAAATGTTATTTGGCAGAACTACAGCGCATTTCTAGCAGTGACATGAACTCAGATGTCTGGCCTCAGCAACATTCAAATGTAAACAAAAGGCCATAAATAGTATCAGATTTCAAACGCTCTCAATTGTTCAAATCGCGTTTGCAGACGAGTTTTATTACGGTTTTTAGTACTTCAAAGTGTCCTTTTTCCAACTATACTAGTCACTGTATGTAATTAGGTCCCACTTTTAAGAAATTCGACGTAGAAAATAGTAGGATTTGAAAGCCGTATTTTGACATGGCGCTCTTTGTCGCTAAATATTGTCACAAATGCTCTGTAATTAAAACCTAAGTTAGTTTAGATGAAATTACGATAGTTTTCCGGTGCTGGGTTTGAATATCAGAAATTTTGAACAAAAACTTTTGAAATTATGTTTATTTAAATTCAGCCCATTTTTTCGTTTAATTAGCCGGCGAATTTCTCCCGCGACGGTGAGAGACCAAAAAATCTCTAAAACTTTGAAACTAAATATATTTTCAAAATTCCAAACAGCATTTGTTTGTTGTTAAAGTAAATGTAGTTCACGGTAAAAGTTTCGAAGAAATTTATTTTTCGAGCCCCAAGTCAGTGGGCGGTTTTTAGAGACACACGCTCTTAAAATCAGTAGAGTAACTAGAGTTCACTGGTTAAAATTGAATCTCCTACTTCGTCGTGTTGATGTTGATCCGCCATCTTGTTTTTAAATTTGCAAACTCGCAATGCATTTTGGGATTGTTGTTGCCAAAAGAAACGATTGTTGCCAAACGTGAGGTCATTGTCAAATGATAACATTTTAGTTTAGTGCAGTATTAAATTGTTGTCAAACGAATTTTTGTTGTTGAATATTTTGATATTGTCACCAAATGTTTTGCAGTTGCCATAAAATAGTCAGAACCAATAACCAAATGATGTCAAATCATTGCCAAATTGTTTGACATGCATGCCAAATGTTACAAGATCATTGTCAAAATGTTTCACTTAATTTTGACACACATCACCCGCCATATAAAACAGCAAACTTGCAAACAATTTGAGGCATTTATTATTAGGGGTGGACCGGATATAGTATCCGGCCGGATTGTGACAAAATCGTACTACCCGGTATCCGGCCGGATATTTACTATTATCCGGCCGGATACCGGATAATTTGTTTTTCATGAAGTGCACTAAATTTCCGTTAATTGAAACATAAAAAGTACTAAAAAAATAGAAAAACAAAAAAGGACATGTGAAAAAGCTAGCCACTGATATAATTAACTATTCACAGCTTTTGGCGCCAAAAGCAGTACTAAATGCCATCGCTCAAAAACTTTGGGAAGTTTTCGGAAACATGTGAACGGTGGAAAAAGTTAAAAACAGATTTTTAGTTAACCATAATTGATTATTTACACAAAAATTAAAATAGTGTCACCTTCTGCACTAATACATGGATGAGAAAAATCCTTATAATATATATTATAGGCCTAGTATTCAAATTGATCAAATATCCGGTATCCAGGCGGATAAACCGGCCAGTATCCGGCCGGATAGTAAAACTCACTATTCGTTTTTTTTCTTGAATTTGTTCAGCAAAACAGGAGCAAAAAATGCTATAAACAAAAGCTCAACCTTCTAAATGTATTTCAAAAACTAATTTTTGAACGAAAACAAATCATGACAACTTACTTGAACATATTTGAAGTAATTGGACCGTTTTGGACTATTGTGTGGTTTGGACGTAAAATATTGCAAGCTTCAGTCATTGTTGCGCCTTAAAATGCATTTTTGCCAGCAAAATTTCCAATTCGAAAGGTATTTTCGAAATTCTTGGTTATAACGATGAAGAGTAGAAGAAATCTGTTGTTTAGGTAGTATTTCTTCTTAATCGGCATATTTCATATAATCAACTCAATACAGCTTTCTTGTTTGTAGCAGATAAAAATTTAGTTCGTTAAGAAACTTGATTGACAGATTTTCTTTTCGATATTTTATCCAATCAAATTCAAGATCCATAAAGTCATTGTCAAGTTGTTCCTAATTTGGTATGCAACTTCGGAACCTGTTTCAGGACGTTGTTTTTCATTGCATCTGAAAATCTGAAGTGATTTGCTGTTTACAGCTCTAAACGCATGCAAATCCTTCAAAAAAGACAAAGAAATCTATTTTTGAGGCTTGTCTTATAATAAATCCCATTGAATGGTTTAACATATATAATCCTGCCGAGCATTTTACTCGTTTGCTGACAAAACCATTGCATTTTTCGAACATGAAGAATCTAAAGTAGTTGTCATGGTAACACGATAATTTTTTAAGAATATTCTTACAAATGAAAAATTGCCTGAAAATATCACTATTAATTACAAAATTATCAATTTCCGAGCATTTATATGTTAGGTATGTTATTATACGTAATATAGGCTTCAATTTAAGGTAAAATTCAACCACAACCGTCGGCTAGGGGATTAAAAAATCCCCCCCAAATATCACTTTTAATTACAAAACTCAATTTACAAAACATATATATTATATACTAGGCATGTTATTATACGTTAGCCTCCTGCGCAGGTATCTCACCTAAGGAATCGGGTGGTCGAAAAAAGTTTTATTGAGATGCCTGCCATAAATCGACACAAAAATTTGCGCTGTGCATACCATACCCGCTCGTGCATAAGGCAAGTAGTGAAGAAGTTTTTGTTTTCAACACGATGGCTTACAAGACGAGTAAAACTGTAAAATTAACGAATAATACTGCTACTTAATATTGTAAATACACAGGAAACTTTGACTGTGGAGCTGAGCACGTTATCGTGAGGTGAGGTAGAGATTTATACTGGGATTGTTTAGAGACAACAGTGACTTTGCAAAGCAGTGAATTCACATTGCCGTCGATTCATGTCAAGACAGGGTCTCAATTGAATTGAAAGTTTATCGTTGGTATATACAAATTTCTACTCAAATTGTTGACGACATTTTATATCATAATAAGCGGAAAGTGCAATGATTTAGTCGAAATTATAACACGAAAAGGAATGATCGAAAATTGTCAATATAAATGTTAATTCAACCGTTGAAATCTGTGACTGTGCCTGCGTATTAAATATATATATATATATAACTCTTGCCTTGTTTTAACACGCTTGTATGGAAGGCAAATCATTAATAAAAGTCTTTAAAACAAAGAGCTTTCTTATTGTGGAATACACTGTGCAATTTATCCCTTGGACAAACTTGAGTGTCTCAGATGTGGCGAAAATTAGCAAAAGCTTTCTTTAAATCAATGGCCCTGTTTATATGGGTGTGAGTTACCTATAGACATAAGGGAAAGGACAACTCAAATTTAATAAGACTCTAATAGTTTTCCAAGTGACGGTTTAAGTGATAAACGTGTTCTGGTGATGTTCAATCCTGCTATCTGAACAGAAGTCTATCCGCGCGGATTGCCGCCTAATCGCTTGATTATGAACTCTAAAACATTCTACAACATTACAATACATACTGTCTATATGTATTGTAAATGTTCCTGCATAAATTGAGAGGACGAGGTTTATACTGAGGTTAACTAGTTTATAACTCTCAGAAGCTTTGTATAATCCAGTTCAAACAATGGCAAATTCAAAACATAACCTAACTTGGATACTTGCAGGAATAAAATGGTTATAGACACATTATACTGGTTGTAGAAAAAGCATAATAACAGCTAGTTTAAAATGCCAGCCTGGTTGAAAACCTGCAGAGTAAAAGGGTAAAAACACTACTACTAAGTATAACCCCCGCTCTGACGTTATATTTTGCAGTCTTGCAGTAAATGTAGATGTGGGGAGCTGCTAGTGGTATTGGCCCTACTCAGGTTTTCCTGTACTGCAGGATTTTTCCTGGCCTC